TATGCATATGTGATATTTGTCTTACCGTGATTTTTTTAATATCACTCTGATATATTTCTTTTGTTTGAACATTTACTCATATCATAACTATTTTTTTGTCAATAGCCATTTAAGTAAATCTTCTTACTCATACAATTCTAAAAAGAATTTTTGTTCATGTTGATAATATCCGGGGTCACAAGTAGTGACCTCCCGGGACCAGTCATAGGAAAAACCAATTGATTGTAATTGATTTCTCATAGTATCAATATTGTTATAGGTCCATTCTTTAGGGTGAGAATTATTATTAATAGCGGCATTTTCTGCGGGTAATCCAAAAGCATCCCAGCCCATAGGGTGGAGCACATTATAACCTTGAGCTTTCATAAAGCGCGCATTACAATCACCTATAGAGTAATTCCGTAAATGCCCAACGTGAATTTTGCCAGAAGGGTAAGGCAACATTTCAAGGACATAATATTTAGGTTTATTACTATCATTTAGTGCTGCGAAAGCTTTTTCTTCGTGCCAAATTTTCTGCCACTTCTTTTCAATATCTTTCATAACTTTCACAATAAAATTTCAAACTTTAATTGACTTAAATTAATAGACCATTATTTTCCTTCAGTACTAATATATAATTCTCGTGCTTTTCTTAGAATTTTATCTTCGATACTGAGAGCTAAATTGGAAGTACTATGATGATCTATCCAATTACCTTTTTTAAATGTTTGTTCAAATATCCTAACCTCAATTGAATCAGGGCTAATTATATTATCTTTAATAATAATATTGATTTTAAATCTAAAATCCTTATTTTCCTTAGGGCTGTACCATTCAGTAATAATGAGGCCACCATTTAAATCAGCAGAAGCCATAGGAATAAAATTCAATACTTCTACTGATGCTTGCCATAAATATTTATTAATTTGATAATCCTTGGACTTTGTTGAGTTATTTTTTATTTTACTAGGTCTAAAAGTTAATCCTTCTCCGCCAGCTAAGGAACCCATTTCCTGAAGTTTTCTTTCTTCCTCTGTTAAAGGATAATCTGTATGGACAGCAATAGCGTTATTATTAAGGAAGCATAGGAAAATTACTATACCCATAATTTGGTGAAAATATTTTTGCATAAATTTACTAATTTTAAATATTAAATTATAATGATACTGTGAATTCTGCCAAGGTTTTAGCCCTGATTCAATTGAGGTTAGGATATTTG